TCCCCTGGAGGAAAGAAGTGGAGAAAATGAGAAAAGGAAATATAGGGGGGAAAATAAAGGAGGGGGTGGGCCGTGAATGGAATGAATGGGGCCTAATATATAAAAATAAATATAGCTAGCGGCTACCAAACAAACAAGCCTTTCCAGTCCTTGTGGCTTTTACTACTAACTAAAGGAGCATGGAATGGACAGACAAAAGAAAAAAAAGAAGAAATTGTTTTTAAAAATAAATAATTTATTTTTGTTGTTGGGAGAACCCTCTATTTATTTTTTGTTTCAAAAGAAAACAAATAAAAACGTGTTAGTTAAGTTAGCATGTGATAATTAGAGACTTGGTGATGAGGATTGTAAAGGATATATGTAGCTATTTAATTCCTAAAGCTATGCATGAGGAAGTGTGGTGTAAGGGATAACAAACACAAGTTCGGCAAGCCGAGGTTCGGCCAGCTGATCCATTTTAACAATTTTTAAAATGAAACAAACGTCATGAAAGGCTAAAATATTCTTGAACTATCATTTAGTAGTGATTTGATAAGAACTTTTAATTGTTTTAAATTTTTTATAGTTATTTAGTAAAAACTAAATTGACTTCATGATGAGAAAAATTTTGATTACTTAATCTCCATACAAAGTCCAACTTAAAATAAAATAAATTAATTTATTTTGTAATAAAAACGTTTTTTTTATTAAAATTGCTAGTTTAAAAATGAAAATAAAAAAATAGAAAATGAGTGAAATTCAATGCCATTTTACAAAAACAACTAAAAAATTGAAATGAAAATGGTCACTCTTCTTCTCTCTCTCCAACAATAAAAATTAAAAAAAAGTAGCCATTCCCTGTATAGATCCAGCAATTTGTTTTGTCAATTTTAAGAAGAATAAAGTTATTGTTTGGAAACAATGATTGTGGTTATTTAATAAGTGAGGCATAAATAAAACAATAAAAAATAAAAAGATTACAAATAAGTTGAGGGAAAAGTTGGGAAAGGGAGAGAACATTTGGACGCAGAGATGTCTAAGCGAATTTTTACTCAGAAATTCTACCTTCTTAACTATAACTAAGAAATTTTCAGTTAGAAGCTAGCAAGAGGTCATTAAATTTTCCAGAGATATTTTTAAAAGTTGTGTCAAATTCCTCTAAAATTTTAGAATTTTTGGTTTTGTATTGCAAGAGTTATAAGCTAAAAATAACAAATAAATGCATCCATGCAGAATTTAAGTCCCTAAATACTTATTTACCTATTTTTTAAGCTCGAGGCCTTCTTTAAATGCGTCAAAAAATCCATGTCCTTTTCTACAGCTCAAAACTGGACAACAATAAAATATGCGCGCGCCACTAACTACTTACTAACCTGTCATTCTAAAAATACGCCTCATTGACAGTGGCAACAAATAAAACAATAAAAAATAAAAAAACAATAAAAACTGATTGTTTGAGAGGTTAGAGGAGTAATGCGGGAAAGTGGACGTTGGGCAAAAAAAGGAGAGAGGAAAATACCTCCCAGTTATGTGCCCAGAGTAAACTTTTTATTGTTCTTGAGTACAAGGCTAGGAAAATTTTCAGAAAAAAATATTACTAGGAATTCCAAACAAAAATAGCTCTAGTAAATATTTAAGAGCAAAACAAAGCTTCGATAAAAATAAGCGAAATGGCATTGCCTAGATTAGAATTAATAAATACTAAGCAACAGAGAGTCGCGGAAGTGCCGGAAATTGGAACTGTCGGAAATCTGAGGGGAAAAATCGGAATTCCAACCGATCTCTGCTAAGCCCTAGATAATCATTATATATAAATATTTATCAAAAATTGTTTTAAGCCTAATTTGTCTCTTTCTTTTTAAACGTAATTATTTATCTTATCAAATTACAAAGGATAAAAAAGATTATTAGAATAAATATTTTTTTAATAATAAAAGCCAATTTATATGATTACACACATGAATAAGTTTTGTGAGAGAGAAGATTTGCGGAACTGATTGAATACTTATAAGAAAAATATTTATTTATTGATGACCTTGGCATTTATTATTTTTTTGAAAAAGGGGGGCAATTCAAATATTTGTATATCTGAGAAAAAAGGTTGTTTATCTTATTAATCTTAAGGGCGTAAAAAAATAATTTTAGGGCCCTAAAGGTAAATGATGTCTAGCTAGACGATATCAATCTATGAATATAAAATTGCGGTCCTTTTTGTGATATTTGGGAATTTAAGAAAGTTATTTACTAACTAAAAAATAATTATTTACTAATCTTTAAATTAGATACAATTCCAAAAAATTTAAATTATGCATTACCATCAACAAACTAAAAATTATTTCTCCAAGCATATCCCAATTTATTGCCTACGGCAATAAAATTGTGGGTAGCTTGTAAAAATACTAGACAAGCTAGTATAAGATAAGATAAGATTTTATAAGATTTTAATTAATTAAATTAAAAACAAAAATAAATACATTAAGTAATGAAAATATCACGAACGAATTGTATCTTACTGCGTTTCAAAATATTAAATTTAATTTTAGTGAAATTAGTTGGAGAATTAATTTATAAGAAAATAATTCAGTCTAGATATGTATACTCCAAAAATTTTTTGGGAAAAAATTAACGAATTATTTTTTCGGTCATTTCAGATTCATTACAACTAGGGTTGATTAGTAAATAAAAATTGTTTTTATATAAAAATAGCCATTTAAATTAATTAGAAGGTAATCAATCAATTAAATAAAATATTTTTATTTTGTTATGACAGCTAAATAAATTAACTTTTAAATAAATATTTTTATAAGACTTTCTTTCTCTCTCAAACATATTTAAGTAAATAAATAAACTCTAAAATTATTGTGCAAACATTTTGTGGTCAGTCTCTCTCTTTTCTAAACTTCCCCCTTCCATCAAAACAAAATTTGAGAAACCTCCCAAAAATATTCTCAATTATTTTAAGAGTGGGAAAAAAATTTGGAGAAGCTTTAATTACAAAATAAAGTTTTAAAATAAAAATTTAATAGAGCTAGGAAAAATTTTTAATTTTTTTTCTGAATTTTTAGTTGCTTAAGACAATCTTTACAATCTTTATTCCTCATCAATTGTTACTAAATAAATAAAAATATTTTAAGTCTGGCAATTTTAATAGAAAATTTTAAAAAACGAAACTAATTTTTGGAAATAAAAAGGGTATTAGATTTCTCTTTTTTCTTTCATTGTCCATTAAATGGTCACTACATTGTTTACCAAGTTTCTGGAGGAAATAAAAATTAAATTGAAACAAAAAATAATTAATTTTTTAAATTTTATTCGAGAAAAAATTGAAAATACTAAATTTACGAGAATTTAAATGGAAGAATTTTGAGCAAAAAATACTAAATGGAAGGAAGGGGTTTACAAACCAATTTCGTAAGAATCAACGTCTCTGTCAGATACCATTTTAAATCCTTCGTTTTTTTACTTTTCTAATATGTAGTTAAACAAGATTATTTATTCATATAAATGATAAATATTTTCAATAAATTAAAAAAAATTTTATAAAGAAAAACTAAAATGTCCATACTTTATTAATTATTTAATTCTGAAAATATTTTTTTTAATTTTTCATTAAATAATTCTCAACTTTTTTCTTTCAAGTTGGACTTTTAAAAATTAAAAGGAGGTGAAGGCTGTGGGAAATATGAGAGAAAAATAAAATAAAGCATTTTTGACTTGAAAATAAACTCCTTTTTTCTTTCCACTTATTTTTAATATAACCAGCCAGCACGGGAAAATGTAATGAAGGAGGGAGTGTTGAATGAAAGAAACCATTTTTATTTAATATTTTTCATGGTCATTGTCCAAAATACGAAAAAAAAATAATTTTTGTGAGGAAAAAATTAAAAAAACGAGAGAGAGCTTTAAAGGAAATTTTTTTTATTTTTGGATTAGAAATAATTAAAGATTTTGCAATATAACCAGCCAACACGGAAAATGTCAGTAGATGTTTAAGGTTTTTTTATTTAATTTTGAAAGGGAAAAGAATTTTCCTCTAACTAAAATTAATACTGGACTTGGGGATAGATATCGAGGGTCTCAATAACGGAAATTTTTGAATGAGGCCTCGTCTCTGTCCAAATTCTAGATGTGAATATGTAAGAGAAAAATGTTTGTTGGAGGAACTAAACAATAAGGAGTTGGCTATTAATGATAAAAACTAATTAAAAAATGATTTAAAAAATTTATTTAAAAAATTTTCCACATTTTTTAATTTTCTATAAATAATTAGAATTTCCCTATTCCATAAACACCTCTTCACTTTTTTCAATTCTTTCCATCTGTCAGCGCCAATAGCACACATTTTATGCTTTTTGGCACTTTTCCGCTAACTAAAAAATAAAAAGAAAAAAGAATTTCAATAGCCAAAAATGTGTGGTGGTTGGGGGGGGGGGGGGTGGTGGTCATTTTGTGTGGTAAAGAGTGTGGAAAATTTGATGGAAAAAAAATAAAAAGAAAATTGAAAAGAATTTTAGTGGAAATTTATTAAAGGTTTTCCCTTTGTTAATACAAAAATAAAACTTGGGAAAAGCTTGCAAAAAAATAAAAGAAATTAATTAAAATATTTTTGAAAATTCAAAAGGGTTTAAAAATGAGAGAAAATTGGAAAATAAATTAAATAAAAATTTAAAAAAAAACAATAAAATAATACAATAGTTTAAAAGATTTGACAGATTTTCCGGCCAAAAGTGATTTTCCAAAAGTCTCTGAGCTTTTACAAAATTATTTAGTGATTTTTTAAAAAATTATATTTATTTGAAAAATTTAGAGAGTTTACAAAATTTAACTTTATGTATATAAAAATGGCAAAAATAAACAACTTCCACATTGTTGCGTACTTTTTCTTCAAGAATTAACTTTTTTATATAATACATAATATTTTCTCGAAATTATTTATTTATTTTCATGTGCACTATTAAAGGGGTTTTATTGACACTACTTAATTTTAAAGTATAAAATAATGCCATTCTCTCTCTCTTTTTTTATCCTTCAAACCTTTTTATCTTTTTTATGATGGCCGATAACCGAAAAATGCGCAGATGATGATGGGCGTAAAAATAGGGAAAAGGACATTGAAAGTGACCGTTTACGAGGCCGCGAATTGCTTTTTTATTTCTCGTTGAATGGGAAATTTAAAAAAAGACAATAAAAAGAAGCTTTGGATTCAAAAAATTATTTTTGTATTTGATTTTTAAATTGATTTTAATTGTATTTGATTGTATTGATTTTGAATTGAAATTGTATTTGATTTTTAAATTATATTTAATAAACGATAAAAAAAGCTGGTGTCAAAAAAGTCGAAAAAATATTCCTAATTTTACAAACTAGGTTTGCAAACAAATTTTTAAAAAGCGAATAATGGAAGAAATGGACTGAAATTAAGAAACGGTTATAAGTGGAAAAAGCAACATTTCTGATTCTATGTAAATTAAATAAATATTATTACTGTTTTCTGATTATTATACATGTAAGAAATGAATTTAATTTAAAAAATAACGAGATTACCAGATTATAAATAACTAAAGCTTTAATTTAAAAATAAATTTCAAAATTATTTAGCTAAAAATACTAAAAATAATAATATTTTACTTTTATTTATTGCCCTTTTAGTAGTATGTATTTATTCGCTTGATTGGCTAAAAATTCTATTTTTTTTATTTCGCCATATTGCGCATATGTTTATTTGTTTGGTTGGTTTTGATTTTTAAATATATTTTCCCTCATTTTTGTAACCGCTAAATCTTTGCGCGGGAATATTTTTAATAATTTAAATTTTTAAAAAATATTTTTAATAAATTATTTATAGATTTTTTTTAAATTTCACTAAATTCCAACAAAAATCCTTGTTTTTGAGCAAATAAAATTAAAATATAAAAATCCTTTTCATGTAATGCCGAAGAGATTAACTCAAAAATGTAAATTAAAAGGCGTCATCCAATGATTTTTCTTTTTTTATTTCTGACCTTGAAATGGTTTAATAGAAGGATTTTGAATATTTCTAGGGGTTTTCTATTTTTGATTTTGAGGAAAAAAAATAAAAAAATTCATTTAGAAAAAGAATAATTTCGAAAAAATTGTAAAGAAAAATTCCTAACAAAAATCCAAATATTTAAAGACAAAAAGGATAATGTGGAAACTTTTGTTGTGATCTCCTAGCTCATGGAAATACATATATCACAAATAACTTCCATATTTCGATCTAATTTGGTCCCGATTTTAGTGGTTATTCAAGTTCCTTTCCTCCCTTTAAATACAATTGTTACATAAAAGTTTGAAACTAACAATTTAAAATAGATGAAAGTTTTAATATTTGGATTGTAAACACTAGGAAATATTTTTATGGTTATATATCTCGAAAACTTTCAAAATTTTTCCATCGAGATTTAGAGTCGATAATTTTGGAATATCTCGAATAAAAAAATTAATGTGATTTTTTTCAATTAGACTAATCTTTGATTATAAAATATTAGTGACTGTAAAGAATGTTTATTAAAGAATTTTATATATAATTTTTTAAATAGAAATTTAATATAATAAAAATTTTAGTCAATCCATTTGATCCAGAAATAGAACCTATCTGATGTTTTTACTTTAGATTTTCTGTTTAAATGTCGGCTAAATTGGTGATGGAATTGATTACAAATTAGAAAAATTAAAGAAAAGAGTTATCTCTAAGAAATCGTCACTGATTTTGATTTTCCTTTTAATTGTTTAATTATGAATTTTTTGTGAATTTATATGTATAGTAAATAAAAAAACCCTTAAAATTCTTTGAATCTTTCCTATAATGAAAAAAAAAATTTTACATTAATAATTTACTTTAATTTTCCTTTAATTTAATAATACTTAAAATCAAATAAAAAATTGAAAGAGTTAATTTAAATATTGCATATTAACAATTTTTTATATATTATCTCCTTAAATCACTTAAAAATTAAACAATAACTTCATTCAAAAATGAATTTAATTAATTTTGAGTATACTGATTAGCTAAATTAACGAAATATATTTCTATATTTAAATATAAATTATGTTAAAAATAAAAACTTTTTAAAGTTAAACTTTAAAACATTGAATTGATATTCACTCCGAGATAAAGAGAGACGAAGGTTTGATCTGATTTCCCGATTAATCATATATTTCTCGAAATGATAACGGATAATTTAAAGTATTTAAACTTTAATTGTTTTAAAGTTTTTAAAACTTTAAACACAATACTACAAATCCCAAATCAAATTCTCCTTCTTCTTCTTCATCTTCTTCTTATCCAACAATTATGTCGTCGACCTATTGTGGCAGATTAGATGTCACATCTTATCCAATTGAAACCCGGTTTAATGGTGTTTATAATTTAGTAGACAATGAAATCAACCGACTATCGTATCAACATATAAGGGTTGAGAAAATTGTGTAACCCCCATCTAATTATTGTTTCATTAGGTCCGCCATCGACCAAATCCAAACCCAGGCCAGACTGGACTTTCAAATAAAATAAACAGTTGCTTTGTGAATGCCATTATGCAATGCTTGTTTAACACCAAAAAATTCGTGCAATTATTTGAAACAAAAGCAATTGCCAGGCATCTAAATATTGTCAATATAGGAACTTCGAGGGGAGCATTATCAGCCTGTTTATCGGCTTATTGTAATTGTTATTGGAGCTCACAATTTTCTTTTTTGAATACCAACACTTTATTGGTAGAAAAAATTAATTTAAAAATTTTTTAATTTTTCAAAAATTAAAATTTATGAATTACTCATATATTTGAGATGATTTTTGGCATATATTTTCGCTTAAAAATTACCGTAAAAACTATTAACTACCCTGGGTGATTATTGTTTCGATCTCTCGCTGGAGGGGCTAATAAATAGAGGCGGGGTAATTAATAGAGGTTATTTTAGAAGGGCTAATTATAACTATCTTTAAGGGAGTAATTATTGTTTCAGCCTTTCGCTGGAAGGGGTAACTAATACAGGCGGGGTAATTATTTGAGGGAGGGACATTAATACAGTTTTTACGATACTCATATGCTATTCAAATGAATATAGTAAAAGGATGTATTGGAAAGAAAAATTAAAACTAAAAAATACCAGATTAAATATATATTGACCGTTAAAGATAAATGTGTAAATTTTTTTTCTAGGACATCGTATCAATGTTTGTTCACACAAAATATGATGGCGATTCTGAACAAGATTCGCACCAATTTCTGATTCTGCTGTTAATTAAGCTAGCCTCCGACACAAACAGAGTACGAACTTTTAACAATTATAAAAATTAAAACAATTTTTAAGGGATACGAAGAATTAACCACAAATTTGAATAATTATCCGAATGACAATTTAATTGTAAATGGTATGGATTATTTAACAAGACAACGGACTATTTCATCGTCCGTCGTGTCAGACATTTTCAATAATGTTCTGTGCACAATATCAAAGTGCAAGACCTGCGGACAAAATACCACAAGTTTTGAACAAAAGGTAAAGTAATAAAATTTAAATAAAAAACAAAACAAAAAGAACAGATTTGCACATTAACTTTTAACATAATAACATTTTCATTTTGTCAACTTTATTTTACCAACTTTCATTTCATCTATTCTCTCTCTCTCTTTCACTCTTTGGATTGGGATTATCTTTTCTTTCACTTCTAATTATTTTTTAATAATAGAGTTAGGAGTTAATTTTAGTGGAAACTTTATATTAAAAGAATTCCAAGGAATTGTAAAAGAAAAAAAAAGAATAATATATGTAGAAAAATTTTTTTATTAGGAATATGTATAATATGACCTTCGGAATGAATGATGACAACTGAATCGGCTTAAACTAAAGCAGTTAAGCTGACATCAGTTATGATCTTTGTTCCTAAGATCATTTGGAGAGGTTTGTTTTGGTAGTGTAGTAAAATGGTGAGTTTTGGTTTGGGAAAACGATAAGTATTTGTGTTGATTTTATTCTGGATTAAGGCCCATTGACTTTTGAGAATCTGTTAGTTTAGTTGTCTGTTACTTAAGTTTCCAAACGCTATTTTGGTGCGGGAGTGGATTGCCCTGACAAGACTAAAGGGATTTGCGAATTATGTAAGCTAATTTAATATTCTAGGATCAATTTTAGGTTTGTATTTGTGAATTATTTGGGCTCTATTACACAATATACGTCCAATCAACTATTGTGCGTCCAATCAACTTTTATACGTCCAATCAAAGATTATACGTCCAATCAAAATTCATGCGTCCAATAAAATTTTTATACGTCCAATCAAAGTTTATGCGTCCAAATAAATTTTTATACGCCCAGTGAAAAAAATAAATTCAGAAAAAATCAAAATAATTTTTATTTATTATAACGCTTGCTCAAAAGGTGTTAATAGAAAACTGTTCCCGTCACAAGAACAACCGTCCCCGTCACCGGATAAATCTCAAATCCGGTTTAAAAAGGATTCAGATCCGGATTTGGCAATGGAGCCGGACCGGATTCAGCCGGATTTTTCTGGATATATCCGGAGATCGCGAAAAAATCCGGAGATCGCGAATATCCGGGGATCGCGAAAATATCCGGAGATTGCAAAAAAACCCGGATTTGGTATCCGGACTCTGGAAAAATCCGGCCGGATCTGGCCGGTCACCAATAAAAATGTGTTTGGACATATAAAATTTGATTGGACGCATAAACTTTTCATTGGACGCATAAATTTTTATTGGACGCATAATCTTTTCATTGGACGTATAAACTTTAATTGGACGTATAAAAGTTGATTGGACGCATAATAGTTGATTGGACGTATATTGTGTAATAGAGCCATTATTTGTTTTGTGTTTGTTAAAATATAACTTAATTATTTTTTAGCTTTTAGATTGGATTCTTTACACCATTATCTCCCAACACGTCCTAATAAAAATTCATCACATCCTCAACCCCCCCCCCCCCCCTCCTCCCCTCCCCAATTTTCCATCTCAACACCTGCTTTCAGAATTTTCTTCATTCAGCATATCTTCTTGTCGTTTCAATTATTACTCATATTGATTCTCCAGACTAACTAAACGATTTTAAACTTCAATTTAAACTACACGATTTTAAACTTCAATTTAAATTTATAAAAAATATGCAAAATATTACTTTAAAATATAAAATTTGTATAGGACATTAAAATTTAAAAACTTAACGAAATTTGATTGCCAAAAATTATTTTTGAATAAAGATCTCGTTTGTTGGAAATTGATAGATCTTTAAATTTATTTTATTAACGAATGAATAAAAAATTATAATTAAAAATTTTGAAACATCAAAAATTTCATATTCAAACATATTTTTCATACACTTATCAATCCGTTTATAGTTAGCACTTTGTTTGCCGATCCACATGAACGATGATAATATCCTAGCTGGTTTCGAACGTTATTTTAATGGAGGCAACAAAGCTTGCGTAAACTGTAATACTCCAGTCGAAACAGTCAACAAAATTTGGAAACTTTCCAATACAATAATACTGCGTTTATTAAAGGATGAAAATATAAAAAAGTATGGAAAATGAATAGAAATTAGTGCTTCGCCGGAAACGCAAAGTTGGCGGAACCGAAGCCGGAACCAAAAAATCCTGGAACTTTCGGCCTACGGGAACCGGAACTTCCGGCGAGGCTCTAATAGAAATAGAAAATTCCCACTCTATACATATGTATTATAGTGTTCCTGTCGATTTTCCTGTGGATTCACTTGATACAAGACCGTTTTTGCACAAAGATTCGCCTGATATATCAGATGGAACAATTTACTCACTCTATGCCATTGTAGTCCACCTAGGCCCTACTTATCGTACTGGCCACTTTGTCTCAAAGGTGAAGAACCTGAAGAGTGATATTTGGTATATATTTGACGATAAAAACGTCCATCAAATATCAGTTGAGGATGTGAAGGTATTCTTTGTTTAAAGTTATTATTTAATTTCTATAACTGCTTCATTTGTAGTCAACATCGGGATACATAATGTTTTATGAAAGAAAGGTTAAAGGAAAGAAGAAATGAAATTGTTTCCTCTCTAAAAGTAATTAATTTTATGCTTGTATGTATGTATATAGTATTTCCCTATTTTTTCTTTTGTAAAATGTAATTCCTTCGTAAAATGTAATTAATTTCGTTTTCATCCTATTCGATTTAACATACTAAATATTATG